GTCCATCCGGTCAGACTGTGTCCAACCCGGTTTGATTTAAAAATAATGGATAAATCATGATTAATGTTATTTATTTATTCAATTTATAATACAATCAAAATATTGTTTTCCCGTGCATCACACGGGCCACGCACTAGTATGATATAAATACATGTCATGATATTCCTCAACAATTATGAGTGGTTATTCCTTTTTGTTGATTTTTTTTGTTCTTCATCTTCTTTTATCCTTTTACCGATTTTGAGATGTTTAGCATCCACTATGTTGATATCAGAGTCCAGGAAATGGAAGGAAGAAAATTCATATTGCCTTAACTGCTAAAAGTTTGTACTCAAATTTTTTTTATGGTGACGTTTATATAATTCTCGGTATCTCAATATTTATTTTATATGTGCTATATAAATAATAATCTAATATTCTTTTAGGTATATAATATTTTAGGTACATTTAAAGATAGAGAAAAATTTAAAACTAGTCCCACAAATTGAAGGGGGTGCCATTTTCGGTCACGCAAGATAGTGATTGTCACAAATAGTCCCACAACATTAAAAAAGTAATAAAATTTTGAGTCCGAAAGGCTCGATAAGCCATGTGGCGCAGATGTGGCGTTTCTTCATGACACGTGGCATGACACTAAACTTGTGGGACTAGTTTTGAATGTTTTCGTATATTTTTATATTAATAAATAAATATAAGACAACATTATAAATATATATAATTATTTACATTGACTATTTATAAAAGGAATGAGGATACAATATACATTAAAATAAAATTATAAAATATTTTATTTACTTTTATTTTGTGATGTATTATTTTTAGTAGGCATTTTTTGGTTCTTTTTAATAATAAATTATTATAAAATTACAAAAAAATATTTTATTCATAAGATAATTATAGTTAACATTTTTTATTCATGATATAATTATTTGTTTATAATTTCATTATTATTTAATGAAAAATAAGTAAAAAAGTGTTAACTATACTTATATCATGAATAAAACTATTTTTGTAATTTTATAATAATTTAATTTTATAGTTAATTTATTTTTAATAATTACTATATTTTTATAAATAATCATAAAATTACAAAGAAAAAATGACATGAATAAAAAAGTTAGCTATAATAATGTCATTAATAAAACTATTTTTGTAATTTTATATATTATCCATCAAATTGGGTGACCCTCCATGTGACATGCCACTTGGTAAGTTAAATAAAACGATTTTTTCTTAATTTGATAATAATTTAATTTTATATTTAAATAAAAATATTAACTATAATTATATCATGAATAAAACTACTTTTATAATTTTATAACAATTTAATATTATAGTTAATATTTTTACTATATTTTCATTAAACAATATAAAAAATTGCCAAAAAAAATGTTATATATTTCAAATATGAATATTTGATAATAAATAAATTCAAAAATTGGGCAGTGCTTGAAAAGTTAATCAAATATTCATATTTTTAAGTAAGTTACCTATTAAAAAGAATAATTCTAAGAAAATATAAATAACATTCATATAATATGATGTTTCTTAAATTATTTTTGGTCATCCCAAATTGAAAGAGCAAACCAAAAAACAAAAAATAATTAAATTGTTTATTTACTTGTACATGTAAATATCTTAGTCTTGAAGTTTTTTCCGGCACAAATGGCACGAGTTGAGAAAATCGACATCCGTAACTTCCGATATTGTTAAAAAGAATAATTTTACGAAAAAAAAAACTTTTGAAGCATTGTACAATTGTTGAAATGTATTATTTAATATTCCCATATCTAAATTTTTGTTTGTAATTTATTAAATATTTAATTAAAAATATAGTAAAACATGTTAACTACAATTATCTCATGAATATAACTATTTTTTTGTAATTTTATAATAATTTAATATTATAAAGAAGCTAAAAGAATACCTATTAAAAAAAACACATCACAAAATAAAAGCAATTAAAAATATTTTCTAAATTTATTTTAATGTATAATGTATCCTTATTCATAATTTAAATTGTTTATGAATAGTTATAATAAGTAAATATATATATTCATAATCTTGTCTTAGATTTACTTAATAATATATTTAGATAACAAAGGAGAGCATAACAATATAAAAAAAAGAAAATTTTTCAAAACTAGTCCCACAGGTTTAGTGTCATGCCACATGTGATTACAGTTGCCAGCGTGTCAACAAAAGCCCTACCTGTGAGCCACATGGTTTTTAGGGCCTTTTGGACCTGAAATCGCATCAAAAGTCCTGCTTTTGATTATTTTTTTAAAGTTGTGGGACTATTTGTGACAATCACTATCTTGCGGGACAAAAAATGACACCTCTCTCGACTTTTGGGACTAACTTTGTATTTTTCCCTTTAAAGATCTTAGGACATTTTTTTTACACATTATAGATAAAGAATCTATAAAAATTGTAGGTAACTTCACACATTTTTCAAC